CAATCAAGTGCCAGTTCAGAGGTGACAATACGTACTGATGCACGCCCAAAGTGCCTGGTGATGACACTTCTGACTTGCGCTTGACTGGATGAAGAGGTCCCTAATCTTCCACAGCGATTCAACACACGATGAAACGAAGTAGGTATAAATACAATACATAGCTGGCCAGTATCGCCAATGCAGGATACTGACTGATATTTTAACTTACTGCTTTCGTTTTCTGGTTATGTTGGTAAACTCTTGATCCTTGCAAAGGCGCGTACAACGAATCGTGAAAAAGCGCAGAGGTCGGTGGGGCTGCAGTTCTTTATCGGTGCGGCTGCAGTTTTATTATTTTGCTGTCAACCACGTGCTACAGCAGTATTTACTAAATAAAAACCGTATATATATCAGGAAAAAATCGGGGTAGGCTGTACCCGGTACAATGGCAACTGTTTTACTTGAAACATGTTTGGTGCCCTAAGGTTGTGAACGAAATACAAGGTTTGTTTATTCAATTTAGAGTGCCTTGGTATGTGTTTCTCTCATGGTGAAGCCAGCGAGTGCTGGAACACTTGTTATCACCTAGTGAAAGAACATACATAAATAAGCTGCTGGTTTTCGAAAAGGCAAAGTGAGCGCGTTTAAAAAGAAATAAAAAAAAATGTTGGGCAGTAAAATTGCGGAGATGTCATAACTCTACAAACGCACGTGTGCATGAAAACACTTCAATTTAACCTATGCTCTCCAATTTGTATGGCTCTTAGTCGTTTATAGCGGAGGTATTTTGTTTGCTTCCTTATATTTGTTCCTATTTTTGGTTGACGCCGTGCTTGTTTCAGCTTGGGAGAGAGTACGCAAGCTCGACCTGTCACGCCCGGCAGTAGATGGAATCGCCAGAGGCATATTGTTGCCAGAAGGTTCGGCTAATCTCGTTTAGCAAAGCAAAGGGAATCCTGCTGTTTAATTTTCTTCTTGATTTCCACTTGAAAATGCTGGGAACCTCAAAAACAACGAGTACACAACGCATGAAAATAGCACCTCCTGAAAGTTAGACCGCTAGGAATATAACACCTCAGAGAATACACATACCAGCTTTTTGCTTCGGGTATGTTTTTAACTAATCTTATTCACGATGCGAGCAAATGCCGATGCAAGTACGTAAAGCATTTTTGCAAATTCGACGTTGTTGTAACTTGGTAAGTTAAATAACTATATATATTATTTTTTTAAAGAAAGTAAAAACATTATAACCGAACAGGAACTTCCGTGCTGAAACGTGCAAAGCAAGGTGAAGACAAATACTTTCAATTTAATGTTCCCAAAACATAGGCCATGCAGCATTAATCGTACCGTTTCCTTTCGCACATTATGTAATGTCCTCTAACATTGAAGTACAGACGTAGAAGCGCTGTGGAGGTGACACGAGAAAAATAATTTAGAAGTAAAGCGAGTCTTGTTGTGGAAAGAAAAATGATGATGTTTTACGGTAAGCACTTTATCTGTCAACAGAACTTCAACGAAGTGAGGGTTGCCATCTTTCATGTCCATTTCAACGAAGTTGGGAGAACATTGTATAGGGGGGGGGGGGGGGGGGGGTGTCTTGTAGATACACATGTGGAGCAGCATGTTTATTTTAGAAGCATTGTGTGTAATCGTTGCACAGTACCTTACAAAAGAAGATATTATTTGAGCACAGTCTCAACCGTTTCCGTCTACGTGTACTACGAATACAGTAAAAGTTTGGGCTAGTTGGTATTTTATGATTAAAGATTAAAACAGCGCAAGGACACGGACAAGAACAAGAAGGTAGACAAACTTCTTCTAGGGACAGCAACACTGTCCCTAGAAGAAGTGATGAGAAAATGGCGTGCCCTGGATGATACGGTTGTGATTATAAAATTAAATGTTTAATCAATCATTATTTACGACCTGTTCGGTCGCCTGAGACCCCGACGACTAATATCGTTCTCTGAAAAGTCCAGTCTAATATTTGCACATTTTGTGGACCTCATCAAGCGATTATGCATGTTTGAACGATGAGCTGAACCTACTTGAGTTCCCGAATTAAAAAGCAGTGCTTTGGAATTTTAGCACTGTAGAAATTTCCTCGAACAGCGTATATATCTGTGCAAATACTCGCCTAACAGTACTGCAACGTTGAAAACCATCGGAATGACTCAGAATCACTGCAGAGTTCATACTCGGGGAAGATAAGGCGGGGAATTTGGTACTTGGGGGAAACGGACCGTGGCGTTTGAGACAGGGGGCCTGCCCCGGGACAAACGTTCTACAATCGCATACTCCTCCAAGGTCAAGGCTTGAGGAGCGCGGGCGTCCAGAAACCTGTCTTTCTTCTTGTCTTTCTTTTTTTTTAAAGGTAAGGCGTAGGGGGGGTAGGCTCTGGTTGTCTTCCTTTTGTGGGCCTTTTCACAGAACCACAACAAAAGACTGGCAGAACAAACGCACGTGCGATTATAACCTTGCAGGAGCTCTGGGCTTGTGGATCACGAGACGCACGAGCCCTGGCATGCGGGGCCGTCTGCCTCTCGTGAACTATTGTTATGACGGCGTCACGCATGCGCCGAACGCTTAAAACGATCTATTCGGTAGATATACTTTGTTTCATACTTAGTGTGCCACGCTGTCAAAGCTACTGGCACGAGCGTGGGCTTGATCTCGTCGATCATTTGCACGCGTTCTCGCGCAAACAAAACCATAGATGAAGCCACGCGCTCGCGCCAGTAGCTTTGACAGCGTGGCACACTAAGTATGAAACAGAGAATAAATATCTGACATGGAATTTTAGCTGCCAATTTATATTTCTAAAACTCTCAAACTGTAATGAAAAAAAATTACCGGGAACCGCTTTGAACCGATTACCGATATAATGATTTTTTTTTCCGGTTGAGTTCCGGTTCTGTTCCAAGAATTTGGCGACGATTTCGTTTGGGAATTCCGGTTAGATAAAAATAACGGTTCGGTTCCGGTTTTCGATTTGCTTCCGGTTCGACCCTGCACATATCAGTAAAGTGAGGAATAAAAATGTGCTCGGTACCGTGTATATTCTCACATTCTTTCAGAATGACATAGCCTGTGTATCAGCTCTTCAAAGAAGGCATCCCTCGCGAGAATTAAAGCGATGTTTCGAAAATGTCCCCAACATCTCACAACGTTTCCAGGAGAAATATATTTGATCTATCTTGCTCGAAGCTGTTTTTTTTTTTTTTTTTTCAAAGAAAAGAATGTCAAATCCGACAGACGCTAATATTTTGGGATAAATCAACAAATTTTATTGAGCGCTTCGAAAACACAACAGAAAGACCTAGGTATAGATTCAATGACTCTAATCACGAGACTCTCTTCAATAAAAACTGAAAGCAAAGAACAGAGACTAAAACGGTGTTTGTTTAATGCTCCATTTTATTAGGTTTTAACGCCTTGTCGGGTGTTCCAGCCGCTATATCAAAGATGTTCTCTTGAGTCAGCGATGGCGCACTTTCGGATTCCCTGAAATTAGAAAGAGGTTTAAGCCCGTTGGTTTCACTTGAGTGCGTGTGCAATGTATAAGAGCGCCGACTTTAACATTAATTATGTTGCAATATTTGCCAAAACAGACTGCGCACAACGTGAGCAATCAGAGAGTACACCTATTCTAGAGGTGCAGCTATAACGAACGTGCTTTTTATAGGGCATGTTTGTTAGATACAATACATTACACCTTCAAACGAGAAATAATACAGGCGTCCGGTTTTGCAGTGACAAGTTTAAAAGTATAAGATGCACTAATACAAAGTATAACATATTTTGGTAAAATTACTTTGCTGAAGCAATTAGCGTTATTTGACTTGGTATAACATAAGCCCGTGGACTTCAATGCCCAAGGAACGAAGTAATTATCGGTTTCAGTTGAGCTAGTTGGTATAGGAACAATGATAATGGTCGAGCAGCTTGAACTTTAAACGATTACGCAGAAACAGTATAAGAAGCACACACGAAGCTGCAGTAATGGTGGGGAAACAACTTGAACATTAAACGATTACACAGACACAGAAAAATAATCGATTACACAGACACGAAAGAATCACTGAATTTCAAAATGGCACGGTGTAGTCGTACTGACGTCAATGATTGCGCCTTGGCCCATTAATATATTAAAGTGTTTACTCAATATTCGCTCCGTCGTATTCACAGTGAGCTGCGTCTCGAGTCTCATGACGACAGCTATCGCAGTTCATGGACAACCAACAATAGTGGTTTCTGCAGTCAAATGTTGTCGTGCTTCACGGGTGAAGAATTAAATATACAAGCTTTACGAGCGTAAAAGTTTGAAGCGCCTAGGGAACATTTTGCTTCATTTTAAATATAACGTAGGGGTTCGGGGTGTTTAGAAATCGTATATAAAAGCACTGCGGTTTAGACGTTTTGAACTTAGGATGCAAATCATATCCTTATGTGATATATTCCGGAGTATCACACGGATCGATCCTTGGACATTTGCTTTTTAATATTTTTATAAACAGTCTTGCAGCTCTTGTCAGCAATTCAGAAACGCTACAGTTTGCTGATGACGCGAAACTTTATCGTAGTATTCGCAAGCCTGCCGTTGTGACCTTTTCCGCAACGATGTTTGTGGGATTCGGCTGTGGTGTTGTACAAGCTTGCTCCTTTTAAACACCTTCCAAAACTAAGCCTGTATCTTTCTCCCTTAAGGAATATGTTATTGTTCGTTCCTTAACCCTTTAAGCGCCAGTCAGTTTTCGAAGAAATGTAACCAAAATGCAATTTTTTTTTTATTGTACACTTTGATAGAAGAATTTTTCCTTATTTCAAGCATATAAGACATGGGCATAAAAGTTTAACAACTGAAAACCAAAATTGATCTAATCTTAGACCATATGAGGCAAAATAATTAAAAACGGGAACCGAGACGGCATCAGGAATTCCGTAGTTGGAGAACAAAGTTCTAAAAACTGGAAATGCAGACTTCTACACCCGTTGGAGAAGAACTCCATAAACCATCAAAATTGTGCCTTGGTGTGGTACACCTCGAAGCATGGGATGGCGCACAGTCCCACGCCACAGTCCTTGCACCAGTAGCGCGTTTCTTTGCGCACCTTCTTGTCCCCACCACCTCGTGCCTTGCAGCACACGACGCACCTTCGTGTTGGCAGCTCCTTTCCAGGTGTCGGTGGGATGTAGGACACAAAGTGTCTGGCGGTCAGGCGCAGCAAGCTGGTGTCGGACGGCCTGCCTTTCTTGAGGGTTCGGTTCGGATCGTGGTACTTCTGGACCATTCCTTCGACCAGCGCCAGCCGGAACTCCAGGTGGCTCAGTTTCCCGTCTTGTTTCTGGTAGAGCAAAAATGCGTTGAAGGCTGCCATGTCTAGGAGGTGACGGAAAATCTTCTTGTAATAAATTTTCTGTCGGCTTCTGGTTGTAGGGTAGTAGGAAAGCATCTGATCACTCTTGTCAACACCACCCATGGTGTGGTTGTAGTCGATGACTACAGCTGGTTTCGACACTGTCTCTTTCTTCCTATTTACCATTTCTGTCATGGTGGCGCCATGCACAGTGGACAGCAAAGTCACAAGCTTTTTATCCCTCCACTGGAGTGCCATGCACTTTCCACGTTGATATGCCACAATATCTCCCTTTTTGAGATTAGCATCTTTGAGAGGTGGCATATCTTTGCGGGATGGTCGCACAGTGCCGTAGACGTCAGTCTTGCGGCTCAGAAGTTTTTCAACCAACTCCGGCGACGTGTAGAAATTATCCACAGTAAGGCAATAGCCCTGGTCCAGCAGTGGCTCCATTAGTCTCATGACGACTTTCGTCCCCATGGTGCTTGCCTGACCGTCGACGTCGGTGCCCTTGCCTGTGTAGATGACGACGTCCCATATGTAGCCGGATGCTGCCTCACACAGCACATAGAACTTCACGCCAAAGCGGGACCGTTTTAGCGGAAGGAACTGTTTCCAGAAGAGTCGTCCCTTGTAGAGCATGAGGCTCTCGTCAATGGATATATTCTCTTCTGGCATGTAGCTTGCTTTGAAGCGCTCTTTCATGAGCGACAGCACCGGCCAGATCTTGCGAAGTTTCTGACGCGCTTGCCCCACTTCACCAGCATCATCTTCGTTGTTTGCGAAGTGGAGAAACTTCATGAGCAGAATAAATCTGCTCTTACTCATCACCTCTCCAAACACTGGGGTTTCAATCACTCTGCGCTTTGACCAATACCACTCGACAACTGGCTTGTCTACTATTCCCTGTAAAAGCAGCAGGGCGAAGAAGACTTTCATTTCTGCTTCCGTCACCGGTTTCCACGCCTTCACACGGGAACCCCTTGAGATCGGTGCGGTCGCCAAGTGTTGATCGGCATACCTGTTTGTTTCCTTGACGATCTGAGTCATTACGTCCGGGCTCAGCAAGAGTTCCAAGTACCCAACAGCGTCGAGGGTGTCGTTTTCGTCGAGACCAGCGGAGACACCCGGCGTGGCAGTAAACGGAAAGCGGGGAGGAGCTCGTGGAGGATTTGTCGTGTCCACCTTTGTCCAGTCCCGCGCCGAAGCAGGGACCTCATCGCCGCTAAGGTCCGAGTCACTGGAGCTTTCAAACTCTTCCGCGGACTCTCCGCTTCCGTCGCTATCGTCTAGCGCAAAGTCATCATCATCCGAACTAGAAAACTCATCATCAACTAAAGATACGCGCTTCCGAGACGTGCGACGCATGCCACCACTCAAAAGAGACGCCATTTTTAAAAACCCATGTTGCCGGTGATGCACGATAGATTCTCAAAATGATAGCAAAATTAGCGAAATTTCGGTTCGCTTTTCCTCCTGGAGGCTAGCGGGAGAACTATTCTCAACGTAAAAATAGACTGGACTAGCGTGCCTCGACGCTGGCACTACAGATGCGGGCTGAAACGAGCGGACTAGCGACGCTCGTCCTCGGCATTTTCGGGACGAACTCCGTGGAAGAGTCAGACTCGTCCTCGGCGCTTAAAGGAAATTACACGGCTCAAATATTTAAGATGCTCTGTGGTACGCGACCTTTGTGTTTTGATTGACTCACAGCCCAATTTTAAATGCCATGTTTCAAAAATTATCAATTATTCAATACACATCCTAGACGTAATTGCACGCATTACCCGTAGTTTCCGCAGTTTCACCTGCATACTGCACATACTTCGGTCGTTAGTTTTATCAAGGTTGAAGTTCTGCTGTACTGTGTGGAATACCCTCGGACTCAGTTAAATGGTTAGGATAGAGTGCGTACAGTGACGAATTGTAAGAATTATCTATGATCGCAACATTGGACCTAGAGTTTTTTATGAATACGTACGTCAATTGGAGACACTTGTTATTTCGTTTCTTTTGAAGAGACGATTAATACGCGACATGTTATTTTTCAAACATAAACTGCTCAACGCTGCTACTGATTCTCTCGTGTTATTTAGTAGAATCTCACTTCATGTTCTACAGCGACAAAATCGGTCTACGGTTTCTGTTTACACTTTTAATTTAAAATTTATTCTACCGTCGACTCGGATGTAGACCAGGTATGAAAAGTGTTTTAACCCTGACCTGGACTTCTTCACTACCCTTGCATGTTTTAAAAAATAAGTGTAATACTGAGTCGCACATTGCAGAGTGAAAATATTTTTGATCCGATAGTCTTCCACTTCGTGCAAGTGTAACTCTCCTAAGGCCATAGCAGCTGTTTGGGACACAATAAAACACACACACGTATACATGTGTTTACATATATATATATATATATATATATATATATATATATATATATATATATATATATATATATATATATATATATATATATATATATATTACAGCCAATTGGTCTAATACAAATAGGAACATATATTTAATTGAAAAGAAAATAATTTGGTCGAGAAATTCACCACACAAGTACTTTTTTATGATAAAAAAGGCTTCTTACATAAGAGTAAATGCTGGTGAAAATCAAGCCGCACACAATCACTACAAGACCTTTAGATTGCATGATGCAATGCACAATAAACGAATAACAGCTGTTCGTATGACGGATATGGTTTTGTTCAGCTCGCGACATTGGTTGGTGAGAGTTACCGAATCATTGGCGAGTAGACTTTCAAGGCTTCGGGGACTTTGGCTTGTGTATACCTGCGCGAGAATACAAGTGTTACTCAGCGTCAAACCGGGACTGCTTTTCTTTTTGTTTTTATTCCTTGATTTGTACTAAAGAAACATAAATTAAACATAATTGTTTGGGGGCCGATGAGAGCAACCCCTGAAATAATCTTACCATCTATTTTTATAAGATGCCAGTAGGAGTTGCTCGTCATTAGAACCTTCCTATAGCTTGCAGAATGCACTGCTTGGTACCAAAGGCTGATTTGGCCATATTTATGTTTAGGTGCACTTAAAGAGTAGTAGCAAGACGAGCATTGACGTTAGGCAAACAATGATCACGGTGAACAAGGGTAAAATCGTTATTTCATATGCCATACACAATAGTATTTTTAATGATATGCTCAAACATTTAACATTCTAATGATTGCGCTTTTCGCGTTCGCCTCTCATAATATAAGTTCGGTGCTCCCCTATACACTCTAAGAAATGCCATCACGTCCACTAACCCGCACAACCTTCGAAGAGCCAATCTCTGCGATCTACGAAATAAGCTCAGCGAATGATGAGGCGGAACATCTGTTTATACATTAAAATTAAGTCTGCGCTGTGGCATTACTCACTGCAAGCATGACGCTCTGCATTGCGTAATGCCACAGCGGACACTTCATATCTAAGTCTAAATAGATGTTCCGCCTCATCATTCGCTGAGCTGATTTCCTACATCACAATGATTGGCTCTTCGAGTGTTATGCGGGTAAGTAACGCGCAAAAATTTCGCAGGGTGTGGTAAAAGGCTCATGATATAGTGCGCTGATATAGCAAGAAATGCACAACCTAATAAAGCAATTTAAATTTTCAAGACTGCGCCTAGTTATATGATACAATAGTGCTTCTGTAAACAGACTGCGTAAAGGCAGTTGTAAAACCCACGTAAACGTGGTTCTTGTTTAATACGAGACACGTCACAAAGCTCCGTAGCAAAACAACAGCATAGACTGTGGCCCCTGTTAAATGGAAGAAACGAAAAGGAAATGCGCAAAACTTACCGTAAGGACAGGCCTCCATGCAGGAACGTCTGGACCCAAAGTCATTGCGACCCGCTCCACATCCAGTGTATTTCTCGCATTGGTCGGTGCGGTGGTTAAAGTAGAATATCAATTTAATCGGTTCACCAGGGGCGCAGGATGGCTCAGCATGTGGTGCTCTGCAGATATCCTCTGCAGAAAAATTCGGTGATATATTGAATATGAATGAAATTATTATAGATAACAATTTAAGAAAGACGCACAAACGAAAAACGGTTTCGTCCTGAGACAACTCTGCCTTGATATGTTATGTCGAGCACCACTCATGTAATATTCAAACTATTTCATAGTATTGGTGTTGTAAGGCACGGGGAAATGAATTTGTCTTCGAATAGGGAAAAAACACTCTAATTTCGTCCGGCAAACAGTTTCTGTTGTTTTCAGATCGTGGCCTTTACGTAAACTCTAATACCATTTACGATTGTTTTATCATGTTATCACAAGCGCTAATTGAATTTCCTTTAATAGAACCATTTTTTTTAAATACTGCAAGTTTTACATTCTGTAAAATCTCTTTATTAAATGCGTTCACGGAGAACGCCAGTTGGAAAATTAGGTGGCATCGGGAAAAATCAAAAAATTAAACGCCCCCACTCCCCCCCCCCCCCCCCCCCCCCCCCAAAGAATCACAAAACGTTGATAATAAAATTATCAACTTTTTGTCATTCTTTTTTGGTCCCGTGTTAGTTTTTGCCTTCTAGAGGTACCAATGCGCTGGTCAGTCTGCATAAAAGCAAAGCAGTTTTTTGCATTTGTTTCCCCCTTTCCTTTTGATAAAATAAACAGTGTTTTATATGTTTCAAAGTAGTGAAGCAGTTACTAGTGCGGATGGAATTTTGTATCCTCGAGTATGCATTATAATACTAATAAACTTTGAAATTTAGTTTGTTTCCGACACGCCCTTTCCGACAGGCCCCTTTGCATGTAAAATCCGGTTCTCGCAGAAAGACCAAGCAACTAAATCTGGCGGCTGAGGTATACGAAACTTTATCGTTGGTTTACGTTGATTCGGTACAAAGCAATAGAACACGATGTAAGAGCTCGACAACTGTGATGCAGATTGCGAGCCTAAGAAAAATATCTTAGAGCTGGAGAGTCACAAAAATGCAACAACTTCGGTAAGAGACTTACCAGGCAGCACCGCAATAGTGCACACCACTGTAGCTAGGAAGCAAACGGCTGCAAAGGTTGCCTTCATCTTAGACGTTAGATGTCGACGATGCAGTCATGGATTTCGGAGTGAGTTTATATAGTGCTTCGCCGGTTTAAAGAAATCATTATTTTTATTGATATTTTTTTCGTGAAAAGAGACACGGCCTGTCACACGCATTGTTCTCAAAGTCCGTGACAGCGAGCTAATCACAACAATTGAATTTCGCACTGCCTATGAGAGATATTGACAAAATATTTGCGTCACAAGCTGCGGAAATTTTTTCCCGCCTGCCGGGAGGCCATTACTCTTTTTTATTGTCTTTTCTGAATATTGGCAAAAGATTTTGAAGGATAACAGAAGGAAAGCCTCAAGAAAGAGAGGAAGTTAAACACAACTTTAAAGAATGCAATTTTTATTGAGGCACTATACCAGTGGTACCAAACTCATTTGAGTGTGGGTTCCACACGGGTAAGGTCGAGAGGGGGAGAGGCCGGGGGGGGGGGGGGGGGGGTCTAACGTTTTAAAGAGAATAGACCTCGTGCTCCATGCATTTTATAAACTCACAGTTTTTCCAGTGATATTTTTAGATATCATTGTTTATATGTCTACTTTGGACCCTGACCTGATGTGATGACATGTATTAAAATGACACCACCCGTCAACCTGTTTGTATTTTTAATAGAGTAAGAGGGCAACTACAGTGTCGTTCCAGTTGCTCAATTCAATCAGGAATTAACCAAGCTCAACATTTCTCTGAAAGAAAAGAGAAATAGATCTGACATTCCTTGCTATTCTGATCATTTGTTTTCAATGCGAGGATCCCGAGCATCTAGCTTTATTTTTGACAGATGTCCTGCTGATCGAGAGTTCGCGCAGCCGAGATGCATTCTTCAATGAAGAGCTCGCGCTTGCATCCTAGTAGCGGAATTGTAGTACATTACAAGCTGTAAAGCAAAAAATACAGCGAAAACAAAGGGAAAGTGACCACAGGTAAGTATAAACTAAGCGAATACGTTAAAAGATCACAGCTACTTTTTGACCGAAAATGCATCGGCGAGATCAGATCAGCATGGCCCATGCCATTTTGGCGTTCGAGACTTGCTAACCGGGATTCGTATCAGTACGGATAAAAAGCAGTATATCTTTTCGCTAACTGGATTATAAAACAGAAAATCTAACTGGATTTCTCACTGGCAACCTGAAATCTAGTTTCAGACAATTGTCTGCAAACTGGACTTCAGGTTTTCAGCAAAAAAATTTAGTCCGATTTCCTCTTCCATAATTCAGCTATCGAAAGGTTATACTGGGCTGCAGGCCGAGTGTTTCTTTCGGCCCGCAAGCCGAATGTTTCTGACCTCTGGGCTCGACAGATCAGTTTATCA